CATATTGTGGTATAGGAGACCTATTCATTAATGACTTTGTGGGCTTGTAAAGTACCACCTAGTTGAAATAGGAAAGAAGGATGAAATGGGAATCTTCTGCATCCAGAAAGTAAGAAATAGAAAATACCATGAAAAGAAGAGGACATGCCATAGGAAAAGAATAGGAAAAAGGTGGCAAAACAGGAAACACAACAGGAAAACATAGGCAAATTTCGAGAAGCAAAGAAATGGGGAAACTGGCCAAGTTTCAAGAAAATAGACTTGTTTTTTTCTCAAAAGTCCTAAGGTGTCTCCTTTTCATTCCACATTTTCTCTCTATGTTTTCGAAGATATCCTCTTTGTCCCCTTGTTGCGTTTTTCTCCGTCATTTGCCAAATTTTCACGCTTTTCCTTTTTATTGATTTTGAAGATTGACCTGCTTTTTCTGGGTTACTGTTAAGGAACATAAATGAAGTTACCATAATGGGTATCCATAGTAAATAATAGGGTTTCCCCAATATAGTAACTTAATTTCAGTTCCTTAACAGCAACCCAGTTTTATCTTTTCGTACATGTTTTTCCCATTTCCCCATTTTCCCAACTGTTCGAAGATCTCATATTTTTCGTACTGTTTTTGGAGTTGCCCGATTTTCCCAAATTTTTCTATTTTCCATTTCTTTGGACGGATTTGAGTTCATTCACCTTTTTTTTAACGCTCTCGTATTTTGGGTTCTTGTTTTCCTCATCCCTGAACCTATCCATATGCACGCCCGTCACAGCATGCCCAAAACCTAGCCCAGCGTACTAAACCCGACACCAAATCCCAACACCCTTGCTAAACCATGCGGTTTTCCCTGTAATTTCCAGAGCGTTCTTGGAAGGTTGGACCTCGATGATGTCTGGCGCTTGGCTTCGGCGCATTCTTACCAACGCGATACCGATGTCAGCTTGGCTAAATACGGCTTAGGGTTTGGAGTCTAGGGTCTTGGGATTAGGACTTAGGGTTTATAGGGTATGCCAAAGTGCCATGGCTCGACCCAGCCATAGAGTGGTCGTGGATCGAGCCGTCCAGAGCAAAACTTTTCAGGGGTTTTGTGCCTCGTGCTCCTGCCCTCAGAAGGCACAGCATCGACAGCACCAAACTTGCTATGGCAGACGGTACAGTGCATGAAGCGTTGCCGGCGTCCCCGGCCCGTCGGGCGTTTAGCGCATCGTAGCCGTCGTGAAGTGTTCAGACGAAACAGCCTAAACGAATCCGAGGCCTTGATGGCCTCAGCCCTGAATAGCCGCAAGCCCTAAAACCCTGAACAACCACAAGCAGTTAAGCCCAAAACCAACCGGCCACAAACCCCGAAGAACCCCAACCCAAGCCCACAAACCACAAGCCTAAGGCCTAAACAAGCTTAGGCCCAAATCCCAGAACCAACAAGCAACATTAATAAACACCAAACCGCATGCCCTGAACAAGCCCGAGCCCTGAAACATTAAATACGAAACCGCAGAACCCTAAGCCCTAATCTCGAAGTCCACAAAGATCTTAAACGACCCCAGGCAACATGACCCGCAATATAAAACCTACACAGCCCAGACCCTAAGCAAGAACTCCCTAACCATAGAACCCACCAAAACTCAAAAACAACCGAACATTCAACTCAGAACAACTCCAAACCCTAAAGCCAACGCTAAGCCTTAAACAGTGCCAAACTGTACACCCTAGACAGCCCTAAGCCCCCATCAAGAAACAGCCCCAAACTGGAAACCAGACCTCGAAGCCTCAAGAACCACATGCCCGAAATTCACAACAACCCTACAAGCCCCAAGAAATGGGAATCCTATGCCTTCGCGCTCCGACTGTAACAGCATGGAACAAATCCTCTGCGTCTTTTTCGGGTGGCTCGACCCTGGTGAGGCAGTTTGTTCGTTTTGTTTCTTGGGGGGGAGGCTGGTCTCCCTATCCTCCTAACCACGAACCTTGCAGCACAATCTCCAAAGCCGGCTGAAGGTGTCCCGTCATGGTACTGCTGCAGCCCGTCATACCACCCCCGCCTCCTACCCCATTGCTGTCAGCAAAGCCCCGAGGGGCCCACCAGACCTTTGCTCTCCCAGGCTTTGGGAGGTCTCCCAGGGCTTGCTTGTAGGGCGAGCCGGCCAAAGGGCATGGTCAAGAAAGTCGATGCTTTGCGTTCCTCATTGAGCCTCGCCTCATGCTCCTTGAAACAACTTTCTGAAACATGTGGCGCCAGTCACACATGTAGATGCTATCTGAGAAATGGGAATTGCGCGAAACCCGCAAAGGAGTAAAGTTGGGTGGATGCCTGCGCAAGCAAGGCGTGGAAAGAATCCTTTTTGGGTTGATGCATTTCAAATGCAGACCTGGCGTCGCGACATATTCCGCGCCCACCCCCCCCCCTCCCACGCCTTTGGGTGTTGTTGGGGCGCCATGTCTACATGCTATGTAGCGGCGAGACATGGGTACCTTAAACTACCCTTAACCCAAGCATTGAACCCGAGCATGCGAAGCTACCTTAACTGCTTTGGCCCAGGCCTAACTTGTCAGAGCCCGGGGATTCTGGGTTTAGGGTAGTGGAGTGAACTAGAAAGATATTTTTTACACAAGTACCTTCACATTTGAGGGTTTAGGGTCTAGAGTCCTGGGTTTGCGAATCAGGCAGAAGAGTTTACTTTTCACCTTACACCACCGGCCCTCATGACCGGGATTAATTGATTAGACTTAGACGATATCCTGAGGCTACAAGGATTCACCGGGATGATTTCTCGGTTTTAGAGGCTTTAGCGTTTCGGGTCGCATGTAGCAGTCGCCACGCCCATGTGCAAACGAAGGAAAATATGAAAGAATGTCCCACATAAGGTACCCTATTCTCCGGTTGCATTTCAACCCCCACATCCCATGTTGGTCTACGTCATGCTTGTAATGCAGCTGTATAATATCTTAAAAGTACCCTTGTACCTTACAAACGAGTTCGTGCTAGCTCAGTTGGTTTGCACAGCTCCCACGAACCTCAAAAACCAGGCCACTGACATGAACCATGTTACCCAGCTCACAAGCTTGAAAAACTACAGTGCGCAGTGTTTCCCACATATCTTTCCATTGCCCAACATATCATAGCTGGATTCCCCCGAATACCAAGATGGTCGTAATGTTGATTCCACGTCCTCCCTGCAGGTCTGTGTTTCCCAGCTTCAACGCCTGGCTCCTGCAACTTACTTGAGTTTAGGGTCAAGGGGTGGTCCTTGGGAAGTTTAAGGCGTTGAAGGTTTGGGCCGTGGTTGGGTTTGAGGCTTCACATGGTTGGACGTGTCAGATAGAGGACCCAAGTCCGTTCCTGATCCATCCACTGCTGCAGTCTGTAAGGCTTTGCGTTTCTACACATTTCATGTTTGAGCAGGGGTGTGAACCTTCATTCCATAGTCCTTAAGCCTTAAATCATAAACCCGAAAAAGAAATTAACCCCAAGCCCTACAACCGGAACAGCCTCCACAACTTCTGGGTGTTTGTGAAGATTAGGGGCACCTTCCTGAGGGTTGCTAATAAAAAGGATTATGCTCAATTATCGTATTTCTCGGTCTACGTTGGGGCCCCCTTCTTAACTACCATGTACAATATAAACATAAAAGCCTTTGGCACAAAAGCTCTTCGAACATATCCGGGATGCACCAAGGGCTGTCTTTCATACCTCACAGATGGTATGAAGGCAAAAGCCCTGGGGTGTTTGGAAGGTGTCGGCCCTCCACTTGTCACCCTATCGAAAGCCCTAAACTATAAAACCCTGAAACTCCACACCCTGAAGATTGAAACCGGAGCTACATAACCTCTTTGAAAGGACCCCTGTCTAAGGTTTTAACTACGGGCCCGTAATTAAGTGGGTGTGTAGGGGTTCATAGGATATATAACAGCTATGTAAGCAAGGCCTCTAAGATGCAGTTCTCGTACCATTTTGTATGGGCCCATGGTTCAAACCTTAGACCAAAAACCTTAGAAATCCCCGGCAAGGCGAACTTCGTGGGCGATGGGGTTGATGTCCTTCGGTGTGACTGGACTCCTTCTTGAGAGTTTAGGGTTTGGCGCTTCGGGGTATTGGGTTTACGGTCCCCAGTTTAGGGCTTGGGGTTTGGAGCTTAGGGTCTTGGGAACCTATACTGGGTGAGTAAGTGGGGGCGTACTAGAGGAATCACGTCGGAATAGCGAATTCACGGTTAAGCATTCAAGGTGGTATTCAAGATTGAAGATTAAGGGGTCCGTATTTAGGATTTAAGTCTTAGGCTTGGGAGGAAAAAGTCTGGGATTAATGCTTTCCCAGACCCCCAAAGGGATCTAAAAAATTAGATCCCCTAGAANNGAAATTATGTAAGGATTATATAGGGTTATAATGGGTCTATATAGGGGATCTATGGTAACCTTGTGCAGGAATCGGGGCTTCTAGGTTTGGAATCACAGGGTCCAGTGTCGAGGGTGGCTTGCTTGTAAGTGTTCTGTCAGCAACCGAACTGTTTGTTTTCCTTGAACAAAAGCCGTAAACCTTCGCAAATGCAAGTTCCTGATGATGCGCTTTTCTAGGGTGCTGAGTTCAAACTGTTCATCCTAAACTTCAAGCATCCAGAAGCCTCATCTATGCGAGCGCTCCGTTGCGACTGTGCGCTGTGCCCCAGAGTCCCAGCCCTCAACCCTAAACCCTAAACCTGTGCACAAGAGAGTGCACCGCAGCCAGATACCTCCCATGCTTAAATCTCATTTCTGTTCCCTCAATCCCAGTAGCTAGACCTCTATGCCCTACACTTTTTCTTGGGTACCTAGTTCTGTAAATAGAAGATGTTTGACATAAGTTAGGTATCCTAAAAAGGGGTATGGTATAGAGGACTAGATATGTAGTCCTCCTCATAGAGCTCATTTCCTGCCGAACTACATACACCAAGCCCCATTCTTTTTCATTTGCCATCCCACCCATGTATGCTAGAACAACGTGTCAGATCCCCTGGAAAGCCCACACCTGAGCTGTGTGCAGGTGCTTTTGGTGGAATTCCTGCTTCCTGTGTCGTTGCTATATCTCGCCAACTCCAACTCACATCTTGCCAAGCTGACACGAACTTGTTGCTAGGTTGGCCGTTGAGGAATTTTGAGTGTAGACTTGTGGCAGTTTGGAGATGTAGTATGGCTTTAAGTTCACTTGTAGTTTCCATGTCTTTTTCCACTATCCCCTGGTGATCCCGATATCACTATAGTATTTTGGTATCTATGGTTGCTTCCATTTTCTTTTCCATCATTCCCTTTGTACCTCTATTGGATTGTTTGGACGCTCTGAAAGCTTCACAGGTTGGATTGCTCTCGCGCTCTTCTTTCACATTGCCTGCTACCTGGTCATTGGTCCGAACTTCCTGCGGCAAGTTCCACTGTTATTGATGCTACTGTATGGTGTCTGGCATCCCACCGTGGGCGCTGCTAAAGAAGTCATTCAACCAGAACAACGCATCGCGTGGAGATGGAGGGTTGGTTACGCTACTTTCCTGTTGCTCCTGTTCCTTTGCATGCAAGTCTGGTCAGACATCAGCCACATCGTGGGTGCAACGCCGTATCTAGGCTCCTGTGGAGAGAACGGCTTTACGCCCATGTCTACAATCCTTAAGTTCTTCTCTGAATGGTGGTTAGTGGGGAGTAAAGGCATGGGAATTTTGGGCGCAGCATAGAGACATCACTTGCCCCGAATCCCGATCCTCCAACCCATTGCCCACCTCTTTAGTACCAATCATCGTATGGCACCTAGAACTTGCACATACCTCCAACAATCGGGCGACCCCAATTTTGGAAACCACCCACGTCCCGGACGCTCAGCTTGCTAAACCCTCTAAGCCTCCGAACGTCTCAACCTCTAAGATTGAAACCATGAGCCCATAGTATGGTCCCTGAACCCTGGGATCCTTGTATACCTACTATATACCCTATATTACCTACATGTAACCTTAAGGGTCCTTGGAATCCCCCCGAAAGGCATGTTAGGGGCCCCATACTTCTAACCTTAGACAACCTCTGATGCAAGGCATGATCTTTTGCATGACATGACTTGGCCCATTCCGGAAGCCTCAATGTTCATCCATGCTTCCGCATCGTCCGACTACGTGCTCTCTCTGTTCACGGAGATTGCCCTTGTGCTGGTGATATCCCTGAAAACGGCTTCTGATCTATGGCAGGCTCCGAGCCCCAAACCTCCAAGCCCTAAAGCGTGTTAGGTAATCCACTCCCCCCAAGATTAACCTCCCCTTACCCGCCTGAGTATTGAATTGGTATTGTTTGAATATAGCCCCAAACCGTAAACACTGAACCCTAAATAATAACCCCTATGAGGGCGTGGGAGCTTTTAATATTAGGGAGAGGATTAGTTACCTTTGATTCCTGGTAGAGACTTGACTCTGCCAAAGAGGGCAGCTGACCTGAGCAGTCGATGGCAGAATGAAACGGCTTCATGTGTTTTGAGGGTTTCGGGTTCAGGGTTTCAGGGTTTCAAGGGCTTAGGTTTGCCAAGATTTATGACAAGTTGGTGGCCTCTTCATTGGTTTCTTTTTCAGAGTGGAGAGAGTGTGGAAGGATTGTATGAGAACAGCCAGATTGACGTGGACAACTCCTGAATGAAGTAGATATTCCTGTGACAGTACTTCGTTGGGAACATGTGTTTTCGCAGACGGTGGGTGGTGAGTGATTCATTCTCAGGGGGCGGTGTAGCTACAGGTTGGAAAATGGGAACTGCTTACTGTAGGCGCCTAAACTATTACTCATATTGAGGCCTTAGGTTCCTTTACAAACATGGTTGGGGTACCTCAAACAGACGTCAACATGTTGTGGGCAATTTTTTCTGCCCATATAGTACTCCGTTTCGTAGGCTTCCTTTATGGCACCCCACACCAGAGAATCCCTTCCCCAGACCTTAAGCCTTAAGCCCAAAACACACAAACTCCACCCTCTGCTTGGAGGGTCTGTTTAGGGTTTAGGATTGGAGGGTCAGGGGGACTAGCAATTGGGGCACTAATGGGGATAGCTGGGCTTAATATCTGGAATATTTTGGGCTGATGAGATCTTATGAGTTTATGAGTATACGTACGAAGCCTGCCTTGAACCTCCAAGTAACCCGCTCACCGCTAAGTCTGCCAGAAATTCTCTCCAGGAAAGTTGCGACAGCACCCGCCCACCAGCTGAGGATTCTGCCCTAAATCTTATACACGAAACCTTCTTAGGATCCCTACAGTGCACCCTTATTGGTGAGTCACACGTTTTAGGGTTCAGAGGTTTAGCGCCCCAGGCGCAAAAATGGAACAGCTAAGGATCATTTTTGGCTTAGTCAGGCCTCATTTTGGGGCTAGGGGTAAAATGAGAAGATTTCCTTCGGATGCAAGGTTTAGGCTCGGCGTTTTTGGATGATTCTCGCCAACAGCGGGGGGGGCGGGAGGGGGTGCATGCAAGTTTCAGGGAGTGCATGTTGCTTGAAATGCGTGTTTTCGAGATTGGATTTGCTGAGCCGTTTTGTTCAACATCAGCAGAAGCGCAACTTGACCGTCGTAACCAAAATACATCCAAGACTGGGATTAGATTCCTCAAGTCCTAAACTGTGTTGCTAAGGTTCGGGAGCTCAGATAGGCGTGGGGTCTAAGGCCTTTGGTTTCAGGTTTACGCCGAAATCATGAAGCAGTTTTTGGGTAATCCTTCAGGATCCAACAGCAGCAGAAACGCCCTAAACCCTAAACATTGTCTTGGGCTCTCAGAAGCAAAGTCCGTGCCAGCGATCCCATGTGCCGATTTGTACCAGGCAGACCGGGCTTCGTGGGCTATAAGGCTTAGGTTTTAGGGGGCTTTATATGATAGGGGTTTTGTAGGCCTATGTAGGGGTATACAGAGGTATAAAAGGATTAGGGTAATTGCGCCCAATCCTAAGAGTGTTTGTGATGCAATCATAAGCCCCCTAGGGCCCGCTAATATGCTTATGATCGGGTTTTAAGTACCAGGTATTACTGGGTTGTAACTACCGTCCTGAAATCCGAACTCCAAAAGGGCCGCAATTGTACTCGAGAGTGCTCCTCCTCTGATAGCCCCTAGACCCTAAATCCTAAACCTCAAATCTATAGATAGGGTACAGCTATCCCGAAACTAAATTCTGAGTTTTTCGGCCCTGATACAGGGTTTAGGGCATAATCCCTGCAGAATTCCCACAGTGTGGGTAAGTGGTCCTTGTTCCGCTCCTTGGCATTGCACAGCGTCCTCTGCCGGCACAGGCCCATAGCGTTGTTCTTCCCTTGACCTGATTCTCTTGTATAGTCCCCTTTAATATATAGTCCCCCTTAAGTAGATAGAATATGGGGTATATGGGGATCTTATTATAATATTCCCAGAGCCATATTCTATCTACTTACGGGGAACTATAAGTAGATAGAATATGGGGTATGTGGGAATCTTCTCAGTACCATGCTGTTGTGAGACCTCAAGCTAAAGTTCAGGATTGAAGTTCCAGGGCAGATATAGACTTGCATACTGTTTCGTGACGCCCCCATACGCGCTATAGTCTAAACTCCTTAAAAGGGTTTATATAGGGACTATTATAGGGGATATTACGGGGGATACTAGGAGTTTACTCTATAGCTCATACAGACACCTTGAAATCTGAACCCTACTTATATGCACCCCACCGTCCCTCGTAAGCATCAGTTGGACCGCGGGAGCTTCCGTGTTAGCATGCCCCAATTAGCACGCCTCAACCAATGCACCCCAAACGCTAAGCCCTAAATTCTAAACCCTAAGCCCTAAACCCTAAACCGTAAACCCTAAACCCTAAACCCTAAACTCAAATCCCTAAACTCTAAACCGTAAACCCTTAACCGGTAAACCCTAAACTCAAATCCCTAAACTCTAAACCGTAAACCCTAAACCCTAAACCCTAATCCTTCAACCCTAAGCCTCAAAAACTGGAATCCTGATTGCTGAGCCACAGCCATGTCCACATGCGGGGGTTTCCCAGAACTAGGGGTGTCCCATAGGTTATTGAGGGAGTTCTAGGGTTCAAACAGAGTTTAGGGTTTTGGGTTTGGGTTTAGGGTTTAGGGTTTAGGGTTGAGGGTTTCCCAACAGTAGGGGTTCTTTTTGGGGGTCCCCATAATAGGGTTAAAGTATTTTGGGGTCTATATTGGGGTGACCCTATTCCGGGAAACTGCCATGTTGGTTCCGGGGAGGGGACGTGTGTAGCAACAGGATTGCGGTAACTCTCAAACAATTTGATAAAGACCCGACAAGGGTCGTTTGATACTCATAAGGTCCTCATTGTGGGTGTTGCGGTACTCCAATCCTTTCATTTTGTTGTTGTGGTTTGTCAAGCTTGCCTCAGCTGGACCAAGTCCCCTACAGCCACCTCAAAGTCTCCACTGGGTTCAGGGTTTAGGGGTTAAGCTTTGCGGTTTTGACTTTAGAGTTTAGGCAATAGGGATTAAGGCTTTCGGCTTATAGTCTAGCATAGGGTTCAGGGTTTCGGATACTAGCACATTTGGGTTGTTCTGCCTACAAGCTTGCTTGCAAGACTGAAGACGTTGACCGGTTCTATAGCTGGGGGGGATTGGACTTTAGGGGGCTTAGGGTGTAGGTCTAGGGTTCAGGGTTTGGAGGTTTAGGGGTTTAGGGGTTAGGGGTTTAGGGGTTTAGGAGTCTAGGGTTTATGGCCTAGGGCCTTGATCCTCACCCTCTTTCACCCCCTAAATCTTAAAAACGTCTTGAAACCACGTCTGTCCAAACCCACCCCCGCCGACATTTCTCGGATATCAAGGTATCTTGTATGTCCGCCAAGAATGCTTGGATTCCATTGCCCAGGATTCAGGATATAGGCCTTCGGGTTTAGGTTCTAGGGCGCCCATTGATGCTTACAAGCTTTCCAACAGATAGCGGCCTTGCCCTAAAGCTTAAGCCCAGAACCCAGCACCTAGGTTGTCGTTGAACAAAAAATGTTGTTTTTCATGCATACCTGAACCCAGCACAGATTAAACATGAAGGTTTCGAATAATACATCAACAATACTCAAAGAGCGCTATATCCTTAATCCTGAACCCTAAGCCCTGAACTTGAAAAGCCTACGCGGCATGGAGGCACCAGTCCGTCCAGCAGAGCAATGGAGGCTTCCCAAAACGTGTGCACTTCTTGGGATTCCAGGGTTGTGTAAGGATGAACCCAATTATTTTTTTGACACCAAGTTCGAATTCAAGCGTGAACAGTTCGCAATAGCTAGTAGTGGGCTTGCAATCGGATCCAAGCGACGTGAATGTCGTGCTCGGCATCAGCCTAGCATCGGTTTTAATCCTATGAGGTGGCGATTCGGACCGAGTACAAGGCCGGAATTTGAGTTCAAGCTCGCGGGTTGCAGAAGCAGTGGGCGGCAGTAGTTTCAGAAGCAGAAGCTGCAGTAGTAGTAGTAGTAGTAGTAGTAGTACTAGGCGCCCCCCTCCCTACCAACTACGTTTCCCAGATTGCGTATGTTGAAACCAGGTACAAACTGAGGAAATACTGGGTTTCGTGGAATGCCAAAAGGCTTGTACTTTCGTAATGCGTTGG